CGTCCGTCCGTTGTTCCTGTAAAAGTGAAAATCCTAAAACAAGGACTTTAAATTACACGAACGCACCTATAGTCAAGGAAATTTTTGAGAATTCGGGGTGCCTGGGCCAATGCCCCGGCTTTAACGCAGTAAACGTCCTTTGTTGAAGATTCCTTGGAAGTATATTATTATTTATTATTTGATACTTACAAAATATAGGTATATTGCCTTTTTTGATTAAAACTGACTAGAAAAAGTAAAAAAAGGTTTTTATTATTGAGTTTGTAAGATTGTGAATGGGAGACTTAATCGGGCTCGCTTTTTTACGATTGGATAATGACGTGGCTTTTAGTGAGGATCGTGGGAATAATGAATAGGATCGACGTGTAGGTTGTGTAGCAAATACTAACATTCCTCTGTGTATTAGATAACCATGGGTGGAGTTGTGAGTTTCTAATGTGTTTTAAGCGCCTCTTTTATTGTTTTTGGATGTAGTTTTGTACACCGCGATCTATCGGGTGTTGCGATTGTACCGGAATGGAACCAGAAACAGACCAGTTTTGACCAGAAGTTACCGTAATTTTGCTATTTTTTACTACGACATCAATTAGGTATCCAATTATAGGTTACACTGACACAGGGGAAACTTTACAAGACTATTAGGTTTTCGTTATTTTTACGAAAAGGCAAAGGTCTATAGTCTCGTCCCTATGAAGATGGGAGACGACGTTCGGAACGTACGCGTTTCTGCCGTAGAAAAAAAAAATTGTGTACTCACACGCCCTGTTAAAGAGGAAGCTAGAGATACCGAGATTGCCAGGTCCTTCTCTACAGTGTACAGTTTTAGGCTCGTTCCCCCCGGTCTCTATACCTTTTAGTGGGTTTGTGATGCGGGGTCTTTCCAAAAAACGACACCCACAGCTTTAAGCAGCAGGTAGAAGCCAACAGCGAATGAGGTCAAGAAGAGAGTTGTGTAGAGGTATTTCTTCATGCTGGCGCTGTAGATCCATTTCTCCTTGGAGACAACTTCAGCAACAAGTACACCTGACACAAAAACAGAGAAGGTGATCTGTTTAAAAGAGGGCCAGAAGAGCTTCATAGGATTGTAGGTGCGTAATGGTTTGATTGCACATATACTTCTCACTGATATTTTTCACCTGAACACATCCACACTATTATTTGTTAGATAATTGTAGCTACATTTGTATGGAAATCATGATAGGCAAAAACATAAAAACACGTGTCGGATTATGAAGTATTTTTAAAACAACCATTTTAATCCCTGTTAATTAATTCACCTTGATTTAAAGGTCCCATGTCATGCTTTTCCGGTTATTACCCGTCCCCTTGTGTGTTATGAAGGTTTTTATGCATGTAAACGGTCTGCAAAGTCACAAACCCTCAAAGTACACCCTGTAGCGGGTAAAACTCTACCACAGAAAATGGACCAATCCGTGGAGCCGTTAAATTACGTCCGTGGATTGGTGCAAATTGACCAATTCGCGGACTTCCTCACACACACACACTCAATCTTTTCTCAGCTGCAGCTCCGCCGATTGCTCCTCCCTGAGACGGCGTGACACGGCGAAGCTGTGAGTCGGTGTGTGTGTTCGGGATGGTTTCGGGCTGGGTTTTGCCGTGTCTCGCTGTCTCGCAGACGGCCACTGGGCTCATAGGGAGGGGGCAGGAGCTCCAACAAGCCGTTTAGGACAGAGAGTGAATACACATACTATACAGAGATGCTGTATGATAAACCAATGTGATTTTGGAAAATTGCACAATATAAATCTATTCTAGTATACCTCAACAATGGGATTATGATCAGTAGAAATGGCCTTGAAGAGTGCAGGGACAAATGAAAACTCACCTGGTAGAGCCTCTCGTGGCCAAAATGAGTATTACAACAACAAACACTTTCCAAAACTCCATCTATTTTCACAGATGGAATAAAAGTAGCTAAGAAAATGCATCCTACCTCTTAAGTCAAAAACGCAAAAGAGAAAACACTGAGGATCAGACAATATATATTTTTTATCTCACTTGCCTCTTAGGACTTCCATATACCATAAATTGTTCATCAATACAAAATGTATGACTGTTGAATATTTCTGGCAGACTTACCTATAAGGACTCCAGCAACAACCTGGTGGGGGAAGTGTGCAGCCATGTAGATCCTGGACATGCAGACCACCAGCACTACCAGCAGCATGAGCGTCCACAGGCCTACCTGAAATAATCTGACCAAGAAGGAAAACTGAGCAAGAGTGCACAACAGATTATTAATGTTTCAAATAAATAATTGGTTGTATTTCCAAAGACTCACTTGCACAGTAAAGGGGGGCATCGTTTCTCTTTGGCAATAGCTAGTAGCGCTGTCACCATCACATACCAGACCCCAGCTGCACCCATAGCATGACCTGAGGGGCTTCCTGTAGGGAACAGACTTACTGTCAGACTTCACAAAATCAATATACATCACATAATTTGCATTGCATTTTCGGAGAACGTTTTTCAAATTATTTTAAACTTAGATCTCTTAGATCAGATTTACAATAATTTCAAAGTCAACGCCAGAACAACTTGTTTTAACTTAAGAATGATGATTAGATACTGTTTGAAAAGGACCTTTGTTGTGTAACCTCTTTGCATTAAGTGCGTTGTATACTGTATGTGCTGGATTTTCTTTTTTTTAAATTGCGGAATCCAAAGTAATTTCCTTCACAAGTGTTTTAAGATACATATCACTACAAAGTGCCAAAGGTAGTAGAGTATCTTTATATAACCTAGTTATCACATTAATTCAAAGTGCAATGCAATGAGTGTCTGCCAAACACTCAAGATATTATCTGGGAATCAAGTACTTTAAGTGGAACTATGCCAATTTTCTAAATTCATACATGTTACTCCGATGGCCTGATAAAAGTCTCTCGAGTCAAATCAAGCACTAGTGTGCTTAAACTCAAATTTGTTGTCGTGAGGTTATCGGGTATAAAGTATTGAACCCCTCTAAAGACAATTTGTTAGCTAATTTGGGTATAAAAAACTAACAAAACACTGTCTTTGAGAGAAATTAATTTGTGAAGATCTTCACAAATATTGATTGAACTCTCCTAAGCCCTTCAGATATCATATTGGAGATCTTAATTTAGTTGTGCTCCCCTTTAATTATCAACAAGGCTAATGGTTGACTTTGCTAGATAAACCATTCCATTGAGTCAATCGGTTTTTCAAGACAATAACAATCATCACGTGATCCACTGCAGGTCATGAAGTGTACCTGGTCCAGTCTCACATGTTATTGGAAATTGCTGCAGAGAAGGGGCCGGTCCCGCTCCATAAAACCGGGTCTCATGGACCCACCAGTACGGCCTCTCCCCAAACAGAACCCTGTCATGAAAACAATAATAAACTCAAAATACAACATTTTATTTGTATGCGTTTTTATAGGCATTACTTCCAACAGTTGTTTACCATTTCAGGACCAAGTTGAGCCAGTCTCCGAGGACGGCCACCCAGATAAGCCTGAGCCCCGTGTCCCTCCGCAGGTGGAACCAGATCGGGAAGAAGCAGAAGAACGTGGTGTGCAGGTCGGCCACTGTGGACGCCAGGCTGAACAAGCCCTCATGTCTGCTGTGTGTGGCCTGCAGATGGACCACCAGCTCTACCCCCCAACTGTGGAGAAGATCCATGATATCACAACCTCCTGCCTGAGTCTAGTGCACTAAATCTGAGTCTAGGTTCCTCAGTTAGGTAGCTGTCAAGCTCTTCCCAGCCACGCAGTCCCCTCTGTGCTGCCTGTGTGATCCCCATCGGACTTTAATCAAGGCTAGCACATTTTGTTTGCCTTTGGGACAGTGCAGACAGGTTCCTTAACCTTTACCCC